ATTTGTGACGATCAGTGCTCATGATGTCAGTCACTGGATTGTCTGGTTCAGAAACAAATATTAACAGACAACTGTCATATACTTGGAATATTTGCGGAGTATGTCTTAAACAAGTAAAAATGACAAAAGCTATGAGTTTTCACAATTTCCATTTACTGGAACACACTGATGACAAAAACGTGAAACTCTTGGTCTCTCTAGGATACACCTGGATACACTTTACTATAAGGGGATTCCAAGTTACTACAGGATCCCACTAACCCAAGGGGTTGTTTAAAGCGGTTAGTGGTTACTGCGCTGGCTCTTCATGGGTTTGATTCCCCACAGAGGTACAATGTGTGAGGCCCGTTTCTGATGTCCCCACAGTGATATTGCTGGAATATTGCTAAGAGTAGCGTAAAACAAAACGCACTCACTAACTAACCTGACTGACACTGCCGACTACAACTTGAAGCACTGGATCACTCGAATATACATACAGGTTACTCACAGATTGACTAAGAGTGATTAATGGGATTCCAAGCTACCAGAGTGTCCCCTACATTTACACACTGGTGGATAGAGGACCCAACTCAATATGATTTGGTGATGTATGAAGTGGCTGATTGTGTCTCTGGACCTGCATCTTTTAGTGTTTGTTGTATTACCTGTTGCTGGGTTACTGATTAAATAGATAACATAAGATTTTGTGTCGATTATGCACTGATAAAACAGTACATGGAAGTATATAAAGCTGTATAACGGCTGCCTGTGAAATATTCAGTCTGGTCCAGACACACCATGGATTGATATTATGAGTATTATTACGCCATGGTAAAAATGATTAGGTAGTGAGCTCGATAGATACTGGCACTGATGATTAACTCAGTAACTCCACTTCGCTACGCAGATATGTGCCCCGGTCACAGTTCATGGCTGATTGGAATCTCCTTATGTCTATTTAGGGCTCCTTTGCCTTTAGGCAGGAGACCTATTGTAGTCGTTCGTGTTTTTATTATTATTATTATTATTATTTATTCTTCCGCCGTATTTTGTAACAGAGCTACAGAGAGCACCGCTGGACAGAATGCCTTGACAAAAATCACCCAGATGCCCACCGAGGTGTAGATATCGCGCTTTAAAATCTCTAGGCTGTAGGCCCAATAGCAAAGGGCAGATAATTCAAAATTAATTCAAAAATTTCAATTTCAAATTCAAATATCTCCAAAACTAATGTTCCAATGTGTGCCAAAGTTCTTGAGCAGATGCGCAATCAAAATGCCTACAATTTCGCCTGGACGGCTCAAGTCGCTAAAATGCACCGTTTGGACGCTATTTGGGATTGAAGTTTTTGTTGATGTTTTTCAGCAAAATCCTGACTGCATACCTCCCAAAATGTGCTGCACTAAAACTACAAGGGCTACGGCTTTCAAACGTTGCATACTTTGTTTCTATGCATGTTTCTACACAGTAGCATCGTCAAATGTGCCTATGTTTATATGATGGCCGCCATATTGGACGCTACTTTTGGGCAAAAGTTGTCTTCAAAAAACTTTCACGGGCTACTTTGCTATTTTGTGCCAAACGAAACTTACCACATACAACACTTTAAACGCTTGTTCTGAAGTTGCCTTTGGTTGTTGAACATTTTCTGTTCTTGGTCCTATGTCAAAAGACCCTGCAAGCGCTACGGCTTTCAAACTTTGAAGAGCGCCATAAAATTTACTGATCAAAAACATCTGTTCAACATTATCCATGTGGATAAAACGTATGGGAGCTAAAAGGGAAAAAAACTGTTTGAGACGTGCCCCAAATGAAAGAAAAAGAGTGCCAAACAAACTGACCCTCAACTCCAGGCAGAACACGCGAAACGTCACGCAAAAAGTCTTCCAACAACGTACCAGTCATCATAAATAATGCTTACATTCAAAAACCCAAAGTTTGGGCAGATTTAACGAAATAGGGACTTCTTTATATCACCGACGGCTCAGGGATACATTGCCGAATGTGTCATAAGTGTCATCGACATTTACGGCACGGCAGATTACCCGTGCAAAGCATGCGACAGTCTGAAGGAAGGCGCAAGGACGATATCTCCTATAAAGAGACTACCACTGCAAAGCGTAGTCCACGTGCAGATATTGGAGACGATGTAAATTTCAATTGACAATGACGAGAGCTAGCGCTACACAAAATTAAAATACACTGCAGTACAGGTGCTATTCCTTCATTGTAATTCAATCTTTTGTAAGGGTTATGTCTTTAGGCAGTATTTAAAGATTGTCAATGATTGAGCGTTCCGGGTCAGGGGTAAAGTTGTAGCTGTGGTCTAAGGGGGGAAACTCTGGTCTAGCTGAAGTAAGCGCTAGTAAAATCGTTCAACAACGACCAGGCGCCGACTTTGCAATGCCCGAAGAGTAATACGCTTTTGCTAACAATTCGGTGCTGTTTGCATGGATTTTAAAACTTCATAGGTGACCTGTATCGAGTTTAGGTGTATTTCCAGTATATATACCTGCTCTCGATTAACGAATTCAGTTGCAACAGATCGAGTGTAACAGTGTAATGGATACTGATGCAAAACTACTGAAGTGCCTTAACTGCTGTGTAATCACAAGTTCACTTGCGTGAGCGTGAGTGTGAGTGAGTTTAGTTTTACGCCACACTCAGCAATATTCAAGCTGTATGTCCGCGGTCTGTAAATAATCGAGTCATCACGACTTGTCAGCTACATGTGACGTACATTTAGATTCACATAATGTCAGTCACAGTGAACCTTTCAAATTATATAGTTGAGGCCACAAAATTTTTTTGTTTCTCTGACTGTTTGAACAAAGGGTTCTTCTGTTTTGATATTCATGATACCTAAGTGATATTATTTAATGTACGAAAATAGGTTTTGTGATGAGTTTATCGAAACTTAATGACCTCCCAGTACTTCCAGTCGAAGAGCATTCGACTAGCAGTGATATGATTCATATTAACTAATACCATTACTACATTCATGAGATATGTGAGAGATGCAAAAGGCTCCAAAGAAGTAAATCCAAGGAGCCCTACATCGCTGCTCGCAGCTATATTTCCTCCATTGTTATCTTATCACTTTGTTGTTCTCACATGTACATATGTACGCTCTCTACTTCCTGGCTGTCATGTGGGTACAATGTGTGAAGCCCATTTCTGGTGTCTAGAGACGTGATATTGCTGGAATAATCCTAAAAGTGGCGTAAACCCTCACTCATTCCTTGGCTGTCATTTCCCGTCTGCGACGCACAATGTCAAAAAGCGCACATAAAATCTCCAAATCGTCATCTTATGTGATCGTTAGTTAAGGCACAGGCGGATCCAGGAATTATCAAAGTGTGTGTGTGTGTGTGTGTGTGTGTGTGTGTGTGTGTGTGTGTGTGTGTGTGTGTGTGTGTGTGTGTGTGTGTGTGTGTGTGTGTGTGTGTGAGTGAGTGAGTGAGAGTGAGTGAGAGAGAGAGAGAGAGAGAGAGAGAGAGAGAGAGAGAGAGAGAGAGAAAGAGAGAGAGAGAGAGAGAGAGAGAGAGAGAGAGACCAACCCCCGGCTCCGCCAATGCAAAACATTCAGTTCAACTTGGTCTTTAGTCATTTTCAAAAAGGGGAGGGGGCGAACACCCTGCAATAAACACCACACGCGCGCACACACACACACTTTGATCTGCCAATGTAAGGCACACCAATAGTTGAGTGGTATTTTTACGTCGCATCTGCGTTGTTTCAGCCATATAGCGACGAGACCAAGTCTGCACACTGCACAACCATAAATCAACATTACATGTTACATCTCTGTAATAGCACTTTGTCTGACATGAGACCACGGACGGTACAGACACACTGTCATGTCAGCCTCACATTGACAGGACTGGCAAGGCGTCGAGCAGGTACAATTCGGATTGTTTTATCGAATGGATGAAATCATGAAAGTACAACACAGGTGAGATATGTTCACTTTATTCATGGGACCAAGCCGAACTGATGAACTTCGACCAGAGATAGCAAGATATCCCAGGCCGTTGACCTTACCGGGTCATCGCACGGTCATTCCGGAACAGCCAAGAACACTTCAATATCAAGAACATACATTAATTTCGTTGGTTTGTTTGTTTTAAACGTCACACTCAGCAATATTCCGGCTATATGGCGGGGGGTCTGTAAATACTCGAGTCTGGGCCAGCCAATCCAGTGATCAACAGCATGAGCATCGATCTACGCAGCATGAGCATCGATCTACGCAATTGGGATACGATGACGTGTCAACCAGGGCAATGAGTCTGACCACCCAATCCCGTTAATCGCATCTTACGACAAACATGGGTTACTGACGTTCAATTCTAACTTGGATCTTTACGGGTCACATGAATTAATATATCATGTCTGTTCCACATGATCATAAACTAATAACGTCACATTTAGATCAATCCGATTTTATTTGGTTCTGGTTCATATTTATGAAAAGTAAATGAAGAAAACAAACACATCTCTATTACTTTTACGTATGTTCATTTCATACAGAAGGTCGATATAGTCAGCGTCCTTACTGAAAAGATAAAAGACATATTTGATATAGATATTATAGGCCTACTCTGCTTTGTACTGTGCGTATATGACTAAACAAGTTTAAGATAGTTTTCATCGGAGTCACTGACGCAAATAAATGCTTAATTAAACATATAGTTTCGTGAATGAATTAAAGGAGGTTGGAAGGCGAAAGAATTGATACTAAGCCATGTATTTGATAACAGTTTTGCGTCTCGTTAACCAAAACACCCCTTCAGTGTATTGTCTCTTTTTCTTTAATCATTGGAAAAAATAATAATTGAAACATTTATGATCTGCTGCTGTATCTAAAACGAATGAAAAACAAGTAATAACACCAAACAACTATCCGCCTGTTTTTCAAATATAAACGATCGTAAAATGGCGTAGGGGTAATTTGTAGACAAACAGGTACCGTCGGAGACAAATATTGGTGGTACGCAATGAATAATCAATAACAGAGTTACCTCCCTCCTCACATGACAGTGTATCATCATTCGCAAAACAAGATGTCGGCTTCAACAAATCGACGAAATCAGGTGCTTATTATGAAGTTAACATTTGTTAAACAATAATTATTTTAACTTCTTTTCTTTTTGAATGCATTGGTAAACCGAACTACAACACCTGATTTGCGTTTCATGCGATACTATGAACGAAAACGTTCTATTTCCGTGTTGCCTCGTGATGTTTTTAATTTTATCTAATTTGTTTACCCAACTTTTCAACTTGTATACTATTTTATTGCATTGATGGTTTTCTGAATGTTACAACTAACTTGATAATACAGTAAAATATGTTGACAGTGCGCAGTGGCGCAATACATCGTCGTACATTATCTAAAATGACACTCGCTTTATCATGTTCATGATTTGTGATCTAATCTCCATTATCAAAGTATATTTTCTCTTTGCAATGCTGCAGTTTTATGGATGAACTGTTTAACTAGTCTATGATTTAGGCAAATGTCATTACTCACTACTACTCAGTAACACTGTTAAACAAAGCTTAAAATTGTAATAGTCATTGGTTATTTGTTAATAATTGTCATTACATGTGTTTGTATCCTGGACAGTGTGAGACCTCGTTATTGACAGTATACAATGCCGTCCGCTAATTCCGCGCACCTAAGCACATCGATCGCAACACGGCAACTAACGTCTCTTATTTTTAGTGGTTTACGTGACTAAACATTCTGGTATGCATCATACTTATCTAAAAGTATTGACGACTATAAGATTCTAACGTTGCATTATGCCATACCGTTGACCTTACTGGCGTTCTGACGACATTGTTTGCTGTCCGGTAATTCTGCGCAGCAATTGATGCGCATAACATCCAGCTGGAGATCCGAAGTATGGAAGCGTATTAGAGCCAGATTATTTTCAAAAGTCACTTCATCAATGTAAGGAAGAGTGTTTCATATTAAATCCAATTATGAATAATGAAGAAAAAGGTTTATAAGTCTGAAGAAAACAAATTTTCATAAAACTGTCATTTTATCTTTCAATTACTGTTATTTACTTACCTTTAGTGATTAATAGCCAGTCCGTTGTAGAAATGTCCCGATTTCAAGCGTAAATGTGGTAGCAGACGAATTTACCTTCGATACGGAAGTACGCTATTGCAGCTGCGCAGAATTACCGGACACGCGGATTTACCCGACACGCTTGTATACCTTGATGCCAGTGTTTTTGCATTACAGTGTTTGTATCATCGTATTATTGGCTTTCAGAATGCTGAAGAAATGTTCGTAGTTATCTTGCTAATCAAATGAAAAACTGTAAAATATCTCACACACCTATAAAAGACAAAAATTATAAAACAATTGTCTGAGTATTTACAATGTCTGTGTGACATCACACCTGGACTATACGTCCATGGGAGTTACAGTAAAAATGTGCGCTGAAAAAGAGTCAGAAATTAAGTCTGCTACATATAAAGTGGTGTGGATATTATGTTAGTTTATTTGCTGAAAATAACGGCACTCTATTTGTTAGAATGTCTGATTAATACTTTTTGTCATACCAAACATTACATAGTTGTCCAACAAACAGAGCTGTTGATGTGATTGATCATGTTGTCATGTGTCAATTCTGTATGCACCAACTGAACATGGTTGTCTGAAGGGACATCACACATTGATGACATGCCCTTTGGAAGTCATGAGTGTTGCCATGTTTCGATGTATTGTTGAACATTACAACCCTGCATCTGTATTTTGGCAACAGTTTGCAGCATGACAAATTTTCAGCCAGCTGTGGTGCTTTGCAGAACCTTCATTGATGGTTAAACAAAATGGTTGGTTTTTATCCCACCGGCATATAATGCGGTGGGATATGGTCGTCGCCTCGTCCATCTCGGCCTCGTCCGTCCGTCCGCCCGTCCGCAATCATTTTGTTTCCGGACCATAACTCAAAGACCGTTCGATATTTTTTAACCAAAATTGGTAGATATGTCAAACATAACCTAAGGTGGTGCCTTTTGCTATTTACAGATAATTGTCATTTTTATTTTTCTCGGTTTCCATGGAAACGTTTTGGACTTAGTCTTAAAGAAGGGTGGGCTTCGTTTCCGGAGCATAACTCAAGAACCGTTCAATATTTTTCAACAAAACTTGGTAGATGTATGAAACAGAACCTTAAGTGGTGCCTTTTGCATTTCACAGATTTTTGGCATTTTTATTTTTCCCGGTTTCCATGGAAACATTTTGAACTTAGTCTAAAAAAGTAAGGATTGCTTTCGTTTCCGGAGCATAACTCAAGAACCATTCAATATTTTTCAACCAAACTTGGTAGATATATCAAACAGATCCTAAAGTTGTGCCTTTTGCTATTTGCAGATTTTTGGCATTTTTATTTTTCCCGGTTTCCATGGAAACGATTCGGACTTAGTCCCAAAAGTGAGGGGTGGGCTTCGTTTCCAGAGCATAACTCAAGAACCGTTCAATATTTTTCAACAAGACTTGGTAGATATATCAAACAGAACCTTAAGTGGTGCCTTTTGCTATTTGCAGATTTTTGGCATTTTTATTTTTCCCGGTTTCCATGGAAACGATTCGGACTTAGTCCCAAAAGTGAGGGGTGGGCTTCGTTTCCGGAGCATAACTCAAGAACCGTTCAATATTTTTCAACAAAACTTGGTAGATGTATGAAACAGAACCTTAAGTGGTGCCTTTTGCTATTTGCCGATTTTGGGCATTTTTATTTTTCTTGGTTTCCATGGAAACATTTTGGACTTAGTCTCAAAAAGTAAGGATTGCTTTCGTTTCCGGAGCACAACTCAAAAACTGTATAATATTTTTCAACAAAACTTGATAGATATATCAAACAGATCCTAAAGTTGTGCCTTTTGCTATTTGCAGATTTTTGGCATTTTTATTTTTCCCGGTTTCCATGGAAACGATTCGGACTTAATCCCAAAAGTGAGGGTGGGAAGCCGTTTCGGAGCACAACTCAAAAACCTCTCTATATCTTTCAACAAAACTTGGCAGATATGTGAGGCAGATATTGAAGTGATGCCTTTTGCTATTTGCAGATATTTGTGATTTATTATTTTCTCGGTTTCCATGGAAATGATTCAAACTTAGTCTCAAAAAGGAAGGGATGGGTTTTGTTTCCGGAGCACAACGCGAAAACTTCTTAATATCTTTCAGCAAAACTTGACAGATATGTGAGGCAGATCCCAAAGTGGTGCCTTTTGCTATTTGCAGATTTTTGTCATTTATTTTTTTCATTATTTCCATGGAAACGATTTGCACTTAGTCTAAAATCAAGCTGGACTTTAAGTAACTGTCAGATGATTTGTTCTTTCAAAGATGTGGGGGCCGGGGGGATATGTCATCTTCTGATGACTCTTGTTTATACTAACCCTTACAGAAGAAACAAAGTCGATAAAATGTTAGTTTGAATACAACAACAAAGCACATTTCTACAGATAACTTTTGGGGTCATTGAGTTATGTACTCACTTGTGTTCATCTCAATTGGGTATCCTAAATTTCCTTTCAGTAACCGGGGCGGTGGGGTAGCCTAATGGTTAAAGCGTTGGCTCGTCACGCTGAAGACCCGGGTTCGAATCCCCACATGGGTCAAAATGTGTGCAGCCCATTTCTGTGTCCCCCGCCGTGATGTTGCTAAAAGCGGCGTAAAACCAAACTCAGTCAGTCCTTTGAGTAACCAATAAATTGTACTCACCTCGCTCAAACTCATTTGGGTACTTTGCCATTTTCCATTAATTTTACAAATATAGTAAGGTTTAAATGTTATTGTATGTTATTTATATTTGATGTGTAATATGAGAAACAATAAGAAATGCTGCAAGTTGCCAAGTTCATGTCCTGAAATAGAACCTCTGAGTATACCTCAGTTATTTTTTCTATCCACTGGTACGCAAGCTAAGATTTGACATTTTTGTGTGTACGCATGTAAGATCACATTTATTGAGTATTTCCCGAAAATACAAGCATACTTGTACTTAATAGGAATTGAGTTTTCACATAAATATTTGCATAATTTACCCAGCTTACCTCTACCTCTGAAAGCATTATTTGTCTGTTTACTTCATGTCTTATTTATGGTTATCCCATTAAACCTCCTGATGGTGTTTATGTCTCTTTTCTTCCTAAATTGTAATGTCATACTTGACAATATTTCACTTGTATCATTGTTGTGTTTGAATAATTGATACGCTACTCTTTGTCTCAAGTTCCTTATCGTCATATTATTTCGTGGTCTGAGACAGAATTCACAGCCTATTGCTCAAAGAGTGAGAAAGTAAGAAAGTTTATGGATAACAACTTCTTTATTATATATGATGCGACGTTTCAGTATGGATTCTTATACCGTTGTCAAGCAAGAGTTTTTGCTTGACAACGGTATGGATTAAACGTCGCATCATATATAATAAAGAAGTTGTTATCCGTAAACTTTCTTACTTTCTCATTAGTCACCAACTTCTAAATGCCAATCAAACTGCTCAAAGAGTGTTTGTCCCAAAATAAGATTCCTAATCTTTAGTTTACCAGATGAATTTGATTCTCTTGTGTTGTGCCACCAAATGTGATATTGATATATATTGAGGTTCAAAAAAGAGGTTGCTTTTGGGATGAAAATCCCCAGATAGATAAGTATCACTGATGTATTCAAGTAAACATAGAGGGTGACATGGGAAAGGGTCAAGGATGCACACTACCAGCCTCAAAATAAGCAAAAGTACTTCTTGCGACGGACACAGATTGACATGAAAGGTGTCTGAAAATTGGGATTGGCAGGGTTGAATGTGTGCTTTCTCTTGCACACCTCATCTGGAGCTGCCAGCATAGATATTATGTTTTTAAATATTTGAATCACTTTGGTTCATCTGCTGCAGGTGATGGTGGGGGAGCTCCCCAATGACTTCCTGCGTATCTCGGGGCAACCCACGCAGATGATGGAAGATGAGAGGATAGCCCAGATCCTACAGGCCCAGCAGCAAGCCGGGGTGGGGATGATGCCCACCAACATTGCTGGCAGACTTAGCATCACTGTTGTCCAGGTAGGTGTGGCTCGGACAGACGATGACTGTTGACTGATAAGTTGTGAGCCTCTCAAAGAATATACACACTGCGTATTATCAGTGTATAAAATAGTTTTGAAATATGGCCTGTCCAAGGACTGGCTGTCCAAAAGAGTGACCAGTCCTGAACAAACAAAGCCAGTCCTAAAATAAAACATAGATAATACGATGAAAATATAGATAATACGAAGTTAAAACCAAGTTAAGTAAATACTTTTTCAAATATTTCCCCCCGACCTAAGGACAGCTTTACTTATTTAATAGACCATCCTTCACAAAAATAGACCATCAAGGACGGTGGGATGGGCTATGTCTTATACACTGGTAATATTAAGTCTTTTGTTGTGGACGTTCCATAACATCATAATATATCCACAAAGACATGCATCAGCAGAGCAAATTTGTTGGTAAAATATTCAGTTCCTGATTCCACTCTTACTACATGGTTTGTTTGACCTTCAGGCCAAGTTGGCTAAGAACTATGGTCTGACCAAGATGGACCCCTACTGCAGAATCAGACTGGGGCACACTGTGTTTGAGACACCCACAGCTTGTAATGGCGCCAAGAATCCAAGATGGAACAAGACTGTGCAGACGTAAGGAGCTTGTTTTGTGTTTACAGTGGCAGAGACAGTTATTGTTAACATGAATTTAATGTTTCCTTTCTCTCAGATGTATATCTTCCCATTCTGCCATAAATTTGGAAAATACTGCGTTTTGATTGGTCAATCAAAGGTTTCAACCCACAATCGCCTCTGGTTGATGATGGGTATGTTTATGGCCTAATTACCCTCAGCCAATGAGATGACGCTATTGGATGGATACAATGCGTTGTCAATAAAAAATACTTTAAGGGTGAATATTGACCAGAAGCAGTGTTTAAGTTTACCTGGATAGGAATGTCATCGTATCCAATGGCATGGAATGTTGCTACAAGCATCAACCACTAGTTTGTCTCTAAGAGCCTATGTAGCCATGGTAACGTAGCACTTACATTTATGAGTGCATCATGACAGGTATTTGGTATACCTTACCGCAACCTTGTTGTAATGTTCATTGTTTACTACATTGTATGTTGAAGTGAACACTGGTACAGTTGTTAAGAAGTCCACTGGTCAGTGACACCCATTTGTTTGCAGTTTGATATAATATTTTATACCATTTCGATCTATAAAATACATCCCACGAAACCTACTTAGATTGGAAACTGACAAATCAGACAGTACTTATTCAGATGACTGCTGTCATTGACGTTATGCTACATTTAATGGTATCTCCTTGTTTAATTTCAAGATTTGTTAATGTGGACAATTAGACTTGGAGTGTAACTGTCCAGGTTAATGAGGTTTTACTGTATGTAGAGATGTTAGATTCTATCATTGTTGACCTGTGGACACTTCAACATCTGATCACAAACCTGCATGTTTGACTCAATCCTCATGTGCCTCCTGGCCTCATGATCAGCTTAGAGTTATCTTTCCTTGGTTGTACAAGGATTCAGGTCCTCAGTGATGACTCTGTTGCTCTGTGTTTAGGTATCTCCCAAACGGGGTGGATTCCATGTACATCGAAATCTTTGATGAGGTAAGACAATTTTGTAGTTGCTCTTTGAACATGAATGTTAAGAATGATTTCAGTTAAAATGGCATATTTACAAGCTATCACATTATATGTAAGTCTACAAACATGATCTTCAAATCTTGAAGATCCAGTTTGGGAATTTATCCTGACACTTTCTGCTGACTTGGGGATGGATACTGGCCTCTGTGTAAGTCTAGATCAATCCTGATCCTATTTCATTTGGCACATGTAGTAATGCTTCAATGTGTTCAAAGTTAATCGGCACAATTATAGAATTTCACTACTTTATTGTGTTAATATGTGCCCTTCCCTCAAAGAAAAAAAATTCAAAGCTTATTATTTTACACGAATGATTTTCAGGATTTCATCTTTGACAAACAATGTTCTTATTTTGAGTATTCCTTTTTGGCTTTTATATCCTCCAAGACAATATGTTAAACTGTGGCCAAAAAACCCGCCCCATGAAGATCCGGGTTAGAATTGGTCTTCAGCAACCCATGCTTTTCGTAAGAGGCGACTAACGGGATCGGGTGGTCAGACTCACTGACTTGGTTGACACATATCATCATATCCCAATTGTGTAGATTGATGCTTGATGCTGTTGATCACTGGATTGTCTGGTCCAAATTCGATTATTTACAGACGGCGGTCATATAGCTGGAATATTGCTGAGTGCGGAGTTATACAACCAAAAAAAATCAAACCAAAAAACCCCAAAGAATGCATGGTTTGTGTTTTTCAACAGAGGTCCTTCACAGTGGATGACCGGATTGCATGGGCCCACGTCACTATCCCAGCGTCAGCCCTGAATGGTGATACTTCAGATGATTGGTATCCTCTGAGTGGTCGCCAAGGAGATGAGAAGGAGGGAATGGTCAACCTTGTGATGAGCTTCACAGTAAGTAACTTCAACATGGTTCATGGACTTGACAATAAAATTTCAAGATGTGTCTGTGAACATAGAAATTGTGTCAGTTATGTAAGTATAGACTTTGGTAGTTTTTTGTGTTTATGGAGGCTTAAATGTATTTAAAAAAAGTGCGAAACCTCTTTGCATTTATGAATGCAGCAACATACTTAAGCTCCATATTAGGTACCTAAACATACTTACTGGAATACTATTCAAAGCATACACATGAAGATCCGAGTTAGAATGAGTCTTCAGCAACCCTTTCTTGTCGTAAGAGCTGACTAACAGGATCGGATGGTCAGGCTCGCTGACTTTGCTGACACTTGTCATCATATCCAATCTGCGCAGATCAATGCTCATGCTGTTGATCACTAGATTGTCTGGCCACACTTGATTATTTACAGACTGCCACCATACAGCTGGAATATTGCTGAAAGCGGCAACGAACCATTCCTGCTCGCTTCGCTCACTCACTCACTCAAACCCACTCACTTAAACCCACTCACTAACTCACCTTCCCACTCACCTTTCAACTCAAAGCTCATTCACTCTGAGACTGTTTGTCATCCAGGCTGCAGCGGACATGCCAGCATCATCCTTCACGTACACGACACCAGCGTTCCAGCCAGTCCCCGCCATGATGCCTATGTACTATCCAGCAGTGCAGCCGGTTGGTGAGTACCACAGTAACAGTACCGCATAGAGTAGTCATCTACATGTAGAGTAGTCAATAGCATCAAGTATGACAGTTAACTACCCTCAAGATAAATTTGTCGAATTCTGATTGGTCAATAGCCAAAGAAAACGAAACCAGATTTGCAATTCAGTCCCGTCAAATCTGTCACGTGACACACTAGATTGATTGTTCAAATGACCTTGACCTTAGTTGCAATGTGGCTGCCTAACAGCTGATTGCTTTGACATTTTCGAGTTGGCGTATACAATTATGAATATAAACAGAGTAATAAAATTGTTGCCATAATTTCTCATTTGTTTGTGTAAAAGAACATATTAAAAAAATGATTCTGTATTTCACTTGTCGTTTAACAAAACCTAAAATTTGATAATTTTATCATAAACTAAGCCATCATGAGTCATCTCCCTTTTCAGGAAAAATCATGGCGAAACGTTTTGTGTGTCATTCTGCCGGAGGTTGGTTTTTTAAGATAAGCTAAATAAAGAGATCTTAAGGGTAATATATTCGTCACACTGTTTTGAAAGGGTGTACGGGACTTTATTACCCTTAAGAAATGTTTTGGCGAATTCTGATTGGTCAATAGCCAAAGCATATGAAACCATGTAGGCAGATTTGCCAGGGCGTGCGAACATTACGAACCGTACGAACCGCTATAATTTCTTATTTATTTGTGTCAACAAAAATATAAAAAAATAATGTTTCTGTACTTCACTTACCACTTAACAAACCTTAAATTCAATCATTATGTCTCCCCCCGAAGGGTCGGGAGACATATTGTTTTTGGTTGAGTTTCCGTTGGCGTCAGCGTTGGTGTTGGTGTCAGTGTTGGCGTCAGCGTTCCCATTATTTCCGGAACATAACTCTATAACTACTTGGACAATATTTACCAAATTTGGTATACCGGTACTGCTTCTCCATATCATATAGATGTGCCTTTTTGGGGTTTGAGGTTCTTTTCAATTATATTTTTTTCTATTTTCATAGCAACAATTTGGACATTGTCTTTTTGAAGGGTAAAGTTTGTTTCCGGAGCAAAATTCAGAAACTACTTGACCCATCTTCACCAAATTTGCTATACTGCCCCTCCGTATCATGTAGATGTGCCGTTGGGGGTTTGAACATTTCTTTCAATTTTATTTTTTTCCGTTTCGATGGCAACAAATTTGGACTTGGTCTTTTTGAAGGTAGAGATTTTGAAATTGAAGGAATCAAATCAATTGTTCGAGGTCTCAACGTTGAATTGGGGAAAGGGGAGACATCTGTTTTACGAGTAAAAACACTTTCCAGTTTTTATCTTAAACTAAGGCATCCTGAGTTATTTCCCTTTATTACCGTTCAGGAAAAATCATGGCGAAATGTTTTGCATCTCATTCTGCCGAAGATTGAAAATGTAGGCTTTTAAAGATAAGCTAAATAAAGAGATCTTAAGGCTAATAAATTCGTCACACATTGTTTTCAAAGGGTGTAGGGGACTGTGCGACCCTTGTACATTCTGTATTTCGTGAGGCACAGTTACTAATAATGTACAACTCTACTTTGTGTCAAGTTTCCGTCAGCTTTGGCAGCTTTGGCATTAACTCTAAAACTACTTGAACAATCTTCAAATTTGGTATACTGCCTCTCCCATTGTTTCAATTTAATTATTTTCTGTTTTCATGGCAACAATTTGGACCACTCTTTGAAAAAGTTCGCTTCTGGAGCATAAAACTAATTTGAAACTAATTGACCAATCTTCACCAAATTTGGTATACTGCCTCTCCATATGATGTAGATGTGCCTTTTTTGTGAGTTTGAACTTTTCTTTCAATTTTTTTTTTTTTTTGTTTTGATGGCAACAAATTTGGACTTGGTCATTTTGAAGACTATAAAACAACAGATTCATTCATGCATTTCGAAATAGAAGCATTTAGAATTCTGAATGTTTTGTAAAATGTAACTGTGGAGTTGTTGATTTGTTGATAAGCAATTAAGTTCAATTGAATATAAAAATATTAAATGAAGACTTTACAAACATAACATACTATCAATAATATGTATTTTCATGCTTAGAGACTTTGAAATTGAAGGAATGAAATGATATGTTTGAGGTCTCAACGTTGAATTGGAGGAAGGGGGAGACATCTGTTTTTACGAGTAAAACACTTTCTAGTTAATTCTTTGCAATGTGATTGTGGAAAGTGAGGACAATCTTTGTATGATGATGGGGTGTGTTATGTATTCCCTATATCTTCTGCAGCTAAACACACGATGAAGTTGCCACTAGATTGAAATGGTGTGAACTGGTCAGGGCAGATTCCACCAAGTGATCTCAGCATTGAAGTGACTGTAAAGCGGCCTTCACAGAGCAAACTAAAGTTTGACAACACATGTTGTTAAGATTTTTAAAGTTGTCAAACTCGCGTTTTCACACATCAAACACATGTCAAACTTTCGTGTCATTTGAACGCTCGTCACATCACGTGACAATTTCTTTCACTGCGATTGGTTGTTTCTGAAAAACAACAAGAGTTTGACAACACTTCACACGTCAAACTCGAGTTTGACAACACCGAAAGTTGGATGGAAAAGTTGGTGAGAATAGAGACCGATCCTATTTCTCGACAACAGTTGATAACTCTGAAATTGGTGTTGGTGGAGAGTTGTTGGAATGTTCACACTCTCATACTCGAGGTTGACAACTTGTGTTGTCAAACTTTAGTTTGCCGTGTGAAGGCCACTTAACTCCTGTACTTTAACCTGACTTAAGTTGTATGCTAAGATCGCTTTGTGGAACGAGACCCGGGATATGTACTCTTGTATTCCTATATTACTCTCAGTCTTAGCATATGAACTAGTGTTGGCTGGTCTCACTAGACCAGAAGAAGTAAAGTCTTCTTTGACTAGGGGCTGAACCCAGTATTGTGTTGTGAACTGTGTTTTGCCTGTAAGTTTTAGAATTATTGACAACAATATAGAGAACATAGACACCTATACACAAAACAAGGTGACAAAGTGCCCAAGATATTTGTATGGATTAAACTACAAAGGATACTTTTAATTGCCTCTTGAAACGAAGAGACCATACTATTAAGGTCCCTTCATCTCACTGTGAACTGGCAGTTAGGAGGGCCGCTCTAAAACGTCATCACTATGATATCCATAAGATAACTAGGGCAATTATACTATGATGTCACAATGCAAAGTGACATCACAGTAGATCTTCGGTGGTCATGGGAGAGACTGTATAAGTGAGTTTGTAGAGTTAATTACATAATGATGAAAATTCATGCTAAATAATAGAGTTGAGAAAGTTGAATTGTCAATACACACAACAACTGCTAATTACATGCCAGGTGAAAAGTTACTTGATAGCAGGCTTTGAAAAGAATAGTAGAGCTATTCGTTTTTTCTTTTATCTAAAGTTCATCCTATAAAGTTAATCAAGAGGTGACATAAGATAATATGGTTGATTATGTTTTTTTGTACTTGAGTTTGCACTTAGTGCTGTATGTGCAGCAAACCAGGGTCAGAAGAAGTAAAGTCTTCATGGACTAGGGCTGACTAAATTGTGTTGGGTGAACAAAAGTTTTAGTCTTGACTTTAAGAGAACATGGACACCTGTACACGCTTTGATGACATAAGGGGCCCTGGGTCAGTGCTGTATCAACAAAACATTATCAAGCCAACAACATTCGTAAGACTATGATAAACTACAGAGATACGTCAGGTCGTAACGTTACGAACGCTTTGTGGATCAGAACCCAGGCACATTACGTTTCATGAGCTACAGAACTCTTTCTTTCCTACAGTTGTCGGAGTTGCCCCTGGGATGCAACCGGGCGTGCAGCCGGGGATGGTGTACCCACAGCAGATGGTGCAGCAGCAGCAGCAGCCGCAACAACCACAAGGACCTTTGTACACGGAACAGGACCTCCAACAGGTCAAGGACATGTTCCCAAATATGGAAGAAGAGGTGGTGAAATCGGTGTTTGAGGCGAACCGCGGCAACAAGGATGCAACCATCAACTCACTGTTGTCAATGAATTCCGACTAACTTGAGACACGTAACATACTTTAAACATTCTGTATGACCATAACATGAGGTTCGCCTTCGGGACCAATCAATGTCCCGAATAGTTCACGTAAGTTAGAAAACACAAATTGTGCTATCAGTCTTTCAAGGGTTACAGTTATCTGAAATCCCAGTTCTTTTTTCCATGCAGATGATATCTTCAGCCTCAGGGGACATAATCTCCATGTCTCCTTATCGTTACGCTTTATCGGTGTATGATTGATAGGTAAAGAAGAACTTTTCAATGTTGAAATTTTTGCATGAGCAAGCATTGTTTAAACTCAAACATGTAAGTTGTGTGTTGTTGTCATTGCCTATTAAAGACAAACAATTTGGAAGTCCCTTCACAGTCTGTATGAGCAAACGTCAAGCACTCCAGAACCCTGTATAATTTTGAACACCGAACATGCATATATTTGCATATTTCTATTTTGAGTCATACTGTGAATGGAATTTGTTGATTGTCATTTACTGATTTGTTTATGGTATTTTTACATCACCCTTAATAAATCCTTTGCCTTAAGGAGCAGTAAAATGCCAACCGGAACTCATCACATGTTCCCATGGTAACTTGAGAATGTATGTAAATGAATGAAACCACCAAACGTTGAGCATCAATATCAGATATGCTGAGGCAGGATTTAAAGATAGCCTTTGATCTATTCTTAATAGCTGAATACCCAAAGTATCATGTGACTGAAATATGTCATAATGGAATTCCTGTCACACGACACAAGAAATCACAATGATATCTGTTGTTTTGTCACAAGCCCTCACGCCTTCATGCTCATCACAGAGCTCGTTTGCTGTAAGGCTTCCCAGCATTGCTGTCAACTGTTATGGCATCCTTGTCGATAAGGAATGGAAGAGTCACACATTTCCTGTAGTTCTCTGATATTTCTATACTACCTAGAAGTAGTTAAGGGTCACCATTTCTTACATAATTATTACTATGGTGATGTCTTTTTCTATCATGCCAATGACAGATTAACTCTGGTAATATGAGAGAATCAGGTGGCCCTAAAAACCTTTTTGAGTCACGTATTTCAGATTTTGGTGGAAATTCATATCGAGTACTGGATGTGTACTTTTGATTGTAAGTCTGTTTGTAGCACTGTCTGGAAGAACTTAAGGGTTTGTGGAAAGGCTTATGAAGTACAAGACATATAAATACTCTGTTCTTTTCAGTATTTGTCAGTCATATGGGTATGTGCAGCAGTATGTTAATATTTTCTTCCCTGCACAAAAAAGGATCGGAAAGACAACAAATATGATTAATATAAACTCTATATTAATAAGAAGCATTGTTTATCTTAATCCAGAAAGTTAAACTCAAAAGGAGACCTCTTGTTTTAATATAATTTTCAGCTTAAAGACTTCATACTTCGAAAGTAATTTGCTCTTCTTAGAGGATATTCCATATGGGAATACTATTTGTCCAAATGTTCAACAGGTCCTGTTTCTTTTTTCATTTCTTTGCTATTTGTTTCATGATGGATTTCCTTCTGGTGTCATCGGAAAGCTTGACTCTTTGTGAACGATTTCAAGATGATGTGATGTTATCTAGATGTCTCTAGATTGTAAATACATGTATGCATATTTCCTGCTTTCCTTGTCTACTTAGTTAATGAGTATTAGAGTTTAATCAAAAGCATTGAAAACATCCATTGGCCTGTATATATCATAAAATGATCACCTGATTAACACACTTTTAAAGTGCTGCAACAATATACTTTGTGACTGAGAGGATTGATGATGAAGGTCATGTTATACCATACAGAGGACTCGTACAATACACGGTGGCGTGATACCCGGTGGCGTGATACCCAGTGGCGTGATACCCGGTGGCGTGATACCCAGTGGCGTGATACCCAGTGGCGTGATACCTGGATACCCAGTGGCGTGATACCCAGTGGCGTGATACCCGGTGGCGTGATACCCAGTGGCGTGATACCCGGTGGCGTGATACCCAGTGGCGTGATACCCGGTGGCGTGATACCCGGTGGCGTGATACCCAGTGGCGTGATACCCAGTGGCGTGACACCCAGTGGCGGATACCCAGTGATACCTGGTGGTGTGATACCCGGTGATACCCAGTGGCATGATACCCCACCTGGTGGCGTGATACCCAGTGGTGATACCTGGTGGCGTGATACCCAGTGGCGTGATACCCGGTGGCGTGATACCCAGTGGCGTGATACCCGGTGGCGTGATACCCAGTGGCGTGATACCCAGTGGCGTGATACCCAGTGGCGTGATACCCGGTGGCGTGATACCCAGTGGCGTGATACCCAGTGGCGTGATACCCAGTGGCGTGATACCCAGTGGCGTGATACCCGGTGGCGTGATACCCATTGGCGTGATACCCGGTGGCGTGATACCCAGTGGCGTGATACCCAGTGGCGTGATACCCAGTGGCGTGATACCCAGTGGCGTGATACCCGTGGCGTGATACCCAGTGGCGTGATACCCAGTGGCGTGATACCCAGTGGCGTGATACCCAGTGGCGGTGGGGGAGCCTAGTGGTTAAAGCTTTCATTCGTCATGCTAAAGACCCAGGTTCGATTCCCCACATGGGTTCAATGTGCGAAGCCCATATCTGGTGTCACTCACCGTGTTATTGGTCGAATATTGCTTAAAGCGGTGTAAAGCTAAACTCACACATAAATACACAATGAAATGCATAGGATCATTGGTTGAATACTTAAGTGGTAAATGTCCAAGACATTAATTTTGGCTTTTTTCTCATCAAGCTGTCATTGTAGCTGAAATACTATATACAGCGCCAACCAAACTTGCTTACACAGAATTACTACAAATTGAAACTCAAGACTTGTGTTATGTTATGCTATCAAGCCATGCTTGACCCTACTTAAACATGTTTATTAAGCTTGAGTAGAGCTGATGGTAGCTTGATAATTCTTGCACATACTTTTAGGAAATATGTTTTTAGTTTGTAGGGCTCTTTTTTCTCATACCATGGTAATTAGCCCAGCGGAGTTGCTTCCCTTTGCTGTCCAAGAACCTATAATAATGGGTTCGAATCACAATTTGCCTCAATTATGTTTCTTAATTTTGCAAGCTTTAATCCCATTTTAAACTGACACATTCTGATATAACTGGAATACTGGTCTAACCAGCGTAAAACCATACTGAATCGACCTCACACAGGCTTACGTTTCATTTACATGTGTGTTCTTTTGCATCGTTACATAACTTGATCATATTCTGCTGATGTTCTGGCACAAAATATTATGATGTTACCAGAGTAAATTGTTGCAGCCCCAATGGCTTTGTATCTTTACTAACCTCATGAATAGACATGTAAAGTAATAAGATCACTACTAGGTAACAAGGGTTGTATACAGGCTGTTTGAATAAGATACCCAGAAAATACATATATATCTGTTCAGTACTACTATTATTCATAAATACCGAGGGGTAGTGGGGTAGCCTGAAACCGGTTATAAGACCCGGTTCGATTCCCCACATGGGCACAGCTCATTTCTGGTGTCCCCTGCCGTGATATTGCTGGAATATTGTAATTATCATATAACAAATCCCATTTAAAACAATAGTATATTTGGAAAAGTATGATGTAGTTTATTATGATTATATCATTTGATCATTGCCTAGATACCAAGGGACGTATAAAACAAGGTAAGGATGTGTACATAACATATAACCGCTTTCATGATATTGATAACGCAAATAATCTGGTATGTGTTTAACTTGAAAGGAAATATTTGTTTTAGATTAAGTGTCATTTGTAAGGCTTGTCACCAGATTGTCCTATCCTAATTGTCAAGGTCTGTGAAAATGTAAAACTGTAAAAAATGTAAAACTGTTCCCTTTAAATAATACAAATTTTAAAACAAATGGCATTAATAACATTAAAAACATATACTGACCACGAGAACTCAGTCTTGTATCAAAAGATTTTTAATTCATACGAATAACAAATTTAATTTATAGGAACTAATTACTGAGGTCTAAAAAGGTTTGTTTGAAATTGGTGTACTATATGGGTGATTTGTAGTGGCTCCTGTTTATTGTACATGATGTATTGTTCATGATGCTCTTTGTTAGATGTTACTTGTCCTGTGTGAGAGCTTTGTGAACCTAACCTCTGCACATTGATGATGTACTAATTGTTTTTCCTGTACAGTAATATCATGATGTCCAAATAAATATCAATGTTGGTATTTGTGTTCTGCATGTTGTGTATTTTAACTTCCATTTAGCTTGTTGTGGGCCAGGGCGGTGGGGTAGCCTGTCACATGCAACGTAAAACACAACTTTGCAGATTCTGATACCTTTCGGTATGGACTTACAGATACAAATCATCAAAAATGCAAATTCAACTTACAAAGTTGAAAAATAACCCGATGAAAACCCCCCGCGAAATCGGAGTTCAAACGATTTACTTACTTCACCCCAGCGCTTGGGGTGAAAAGTGGTTTCAAGAGCTGTGCTGCGCTCATAGCGCATGCGCAGTGAATTAGGTTCGCGCAGCTTGGAAGCGGGATGTCCGGATTATAAGGTCGTGAGCAGTAGTAGTCTAATCAAAACAAATAGTAAATAATCTACTCATTACATAAAAGAATCTTGTTAGGATCTAGATCTACTCAGCTATGTGTCAACCAGTGAGGCGTTCGACATTTCAAGACGGAAAACCTTCGCTGGCGGTGAATACTCGGTGAAGGCATTGATGTGAGCTATTTTTCTAATGTTTTGTTGATATTTCACAGGCGCGAGCTTTTTATATGTTATGACAGTAGAATACCGATTTAACTGTTTATATAATTTCATTTATTTCTATCTTCACCGAGTCACACGTTCTTCTTACCGATTCACTTTCTCAGTTCGATACTAAAAGCAATGTCATTATTTAGCATTGACAGAATTTCTAACTGTGATATAGATATATACAATACGCATTGAGTTATGGCCCGAGTTCTGGTCTCTGTCACATTATGTAATGACACAGACTGGCAGGTGTGTATACACAAAAATGCATGTATTTTCAAAACCCAACATCTCTATATATGATACACACACACAATGAGCCGTGAGGGCATCGGCAAATGAACCAGCCAGTGAAAGCCTTCGTTACACTTGAGTGCACACCCACCCGCTCTGACTGGGTTCGGTATCCCGGCTGCTTTTTTTCGAGGGAAGTAAACCCAAGTACAAAATATTGCACTTTTGATTTGGGATTGTAAGCTTATAATCTTGTTTTTGGGTGTGTTTTTCATAATCAGCAATGTATATTATCTGTGATAATTGTGTTTTAATTGTGTTTGATTTTTTGGTTGCATGTGGCCTTTAAAGCGTTTGTACTTTATGTCGAAGGCCAAGGTTCGATTCCCCACATGGGTACTATGTGTGAAGCCCATTTCTGGTGTCCCCCCACCGTGATATTGCTGGAATATTGCTAAAAGCTGTGTAAAACCAAACTCACTCACTCACTCATTGTTGTGGACCACCAGGTGTTATTAAAGGAAGGTTTTTACCCCCATGTGTATAGCACCATGGAGTGAGTGAGTTCAGTTTTACGCCGCACTCAGCAGATATGGGTTGCTGAAGAATTCTACCCCGGACACGGGTCGTATTTGTATTGGAATACAGTGGATGTAACCATGGAAACTGCTTCCCGTCTATCCTGTGCAGTGGGGTAGTCTTGTGGTTGTCATGCTGAAGACCGAGTACAATTCCCAACCATGGTACAATGTGTGAAGCCCATTTCTGGTGTCCCAGGCCGTGATATTGTTGGAATATTGCTAAAAGCGGTGTAAAACCATACTCACTCACTCACGTATTCCAGTCCTATGGTACAAAGTCAGATAACAGTAATGGCATACAATCTAGTGGTGGTCCGATTAATTGAAATAATCGAAGATTGGTCGCACTGACTAAACGACCAAGCAATCGATCCTGTTTTCTCATAATCGAACACAAACAATTCTGGAACACGTTTTCATTAACAGTATTTTTCACTAGGTTGGTTTTGTCTGTTACATTCCATAAGCACTACAAGCTCGTTCCAAGTCATGATTGAAGTTATCTTAAAGACTCTAAGAAATTTATGTTCCTAACATACTAGTCATCCTTTAAAGATGTGCGGAACTACATGTTTTTTCCCTAATTTTTGTGTACATTAACAAATTTCATAAATGACGCTAACCAATTCTTTTCGATGATTGATCGATTGTAATGAATCAATCATCAATTATGAGATTTTAACCAATTCCCAACACTAATACAATCACAATGTTTGTACATGGTGTTTTCTTTTTACCATATGTATTCTATATAGGGTGGATATACATACCAAGTTTGAGAATATTATTTGTGTCAATAGTGTTCATTAACAAATCAAATTACAGGTATAAGGATATGTATGGTATTATTGTGGTAGATATTGTGTCCTTAAATCTATGTAGTAAGGACATACCAGCAAAATGCGGAACTCATTCTCAATTACATTTATTGTACCAAATTTACACGATCCTATTTCTCTTTGAATATTATGATTTCTACCCTTCTCGATCATAAGATCACGTGAACAACATGTAAATCTGAATAATGAAACGAAACATTTTCTGAAATTGATATCGTGGCGGTAGATTTATATAAGTAATGTAAAAGGTGGATTTGGGCGACTACTAAAGATGAATGCCATGACTGAATGGGCGGTGGGGTAGCCTAGTGGTTAAAGCGTCCGCTC